CCAATTAATTGAACGTATTAATTTCATGACACAATCAAACATATATGAAAAATCTAATAGAATAAATATTACAAAATCAAATCATAATATCAAGTTTGGCTGTATCAAACCCTAGATAAATTGTTTAGTTCATGATGAAATTCATAAATCTATTCAATTTAAATGTGAGAACATAAGGAAGAAGGGAAAGATAAACTCTTTTGAAGCTTTAGTTGGAATTTCCCTTGATATTCTTCGCGCCTCCTCGCTTGATTTCTCAAGTCTTTTGATGCTTTGCCCATTCCAATTCCTTGAAAATAGGTCTTTGATCATGTATTTATAGTATTTTTGGAGTTTTGGACGAATTAGAGTTGAATTAGGCCAAGAAAAGAATCCAAAAATATTAAAAACCCGTTTTCTCGCCCAGCAGCGCCTCGTCGCCTATGATACTGCTGATTTTCAGCGACAGAGGTGCTGCGGCACCTATTTCAGGTGAAAATTCAGCAGTGCACGTCCTTCGATATTTCTATAATAACTTTTTCTCTCGATATCCGGTTGAAGCGATTCAATAGGTGTTGGAAAGATAACTCAAAGAGCTACAACTTTGCTTCAGATATCATTTTCCAATTCGAACATTTGTTATGTCAAAAATGATTTTCAATATGAGACTAAAAATCAGAAACATAACTTTTTCGATTACAAAAATGGGTCTCAATACGAGGCTGAAAATCGGTACATAACTTTGCGATTGGAAATTGATGTATGATCATACTTTGATTATATTTGATCCCTTTGACTTATTTTTTCATCCAATTGACTCCCAACACTCTCGAATCTTCATTGTGAGGTCCGACACAACTTTTGAGTATTTGCACTTTAGTCCTCGTACTTTGGATCTCTTACAATTTAGCCCGTTTCTCCAATTTGCCAACTTTTGCTTATTTTTTTCAATTTCATCAACCTATATCACAATATCAAAACACACATTAAAACTCCCTAAAACTCTCTGAAAGATAACAAAATAACGAATTAAGTGGTATAAATATCATGAGTGTAGAACACTCATCAGTGGGCCACATACATTTTTCATCAGAGGCCTAACAAGGGCACAATTTTTAACCATGGTTAGCGAGCGGACTTTAACTGAGGACCTCTACTTGTTTATTTACCATGTTGGACGGGTATAAAAATTTTAAGCTATTAGAGAGAGACTATATATGTTTACTTAAATTTAGTCTTCAACGCTATTGCACCAAGCTAACGAAGCTAAGTAATAATTGTAGGTCCGATATGCACCGCACCTGCCTCTTGTCTTACGAGGACTTACATGCACTTTCTTTGGTGGTAAGAAGACTGGAATAGTAGGGAGGACGGGCAGTGGTAAATCAACTCTTATACAGACTCTCTTCCGCATTGTGGAACCAGCTGGTGGACAAGTATTGATTGATGGTATCAATATCTCATCAATTGGACTGCACGACTTGAGATCTAGATTGAGCATAATACCACAGGATCCAACCATGTTTGAGGGGACAGTTAGAAGTAACATGGATCCCCTAGAAGAGTATACAGATAAGCAGATTTGGGAGGTGGGTCTTTTTTATGCGATGTGTTTTATGTTATCGATTTTACAATCATAGAATAGAGACAGACTTCAAGGGGTGTTACAATGTCACCTTCCTTAAAGCGTTAATCACCGCCACCACTTGGGAATTATTATGTACAATAGGATTCAGGCAAAATGCTTCTCCGGATGCTATGGTGATAAGACTTTGAGGAAAGTGATGTTGTAACACGCCTTGAAGTCTATCTCTATTCTTTAATCATAAAATCAACAAATTTTTGAAAGATTTTATACGTCTGTATAAGAGTTGATTTAGATTCAAAACATTCTCTCTGATTTTCGAGGATGAAAACGTTCTCCTTTCCTTTAGGCTCTTGATAAATGCCAGCTTGGAGATGAGGTTCGAGAGAAGGAAGGCAAGCTCGATTCCACAGGTTTTCTTCTCAACTAATTTATCCTTTGCAATTTTTCTTACCGATATATAATCATAATTTCTTGTTGATTTCTTGGTTTTACAATAAATATTATAGTTTCTGAGAATGGAGATAACTGGAGTGTCGGTCAAAGGCAGCTCGTTTGTCTTGGACGTGTGCTACTTAAGAAGAGCAAGGTTCTGGTGCTAGATGAGGCCACAGCATCAGTAGACACAGCAACTGACTATCTGATTCAACAAACTCTTAGGCAACACTTCTCTGATTCCACCGTCATAACAATTGCACACAGGATAACATCTGTGCTGGACAGTGATACTGTTCTACTACTAGATCATGGTATAGGACCTCATTACAATGCTGTAATCTTGAGATGTGTTTGTAACTTGTTGGTGTTCACCTTCTTTTCCCCGTGGTGCAGGACTTATTAAGGAATATGATTCTCCAGAAAAATTGCTTGAGGACAAGTCATCTTCATTTTCAAAGCTCGTAGCTGAGTACAGCAGGAGATCGAGTTCCAGTTATGGAAATGTCACAAACATCTGAGCATAAGATCTTCCCCGTGTTCATTAACCCGAACAACGAGCCTTTCCCTCCCCAGTGGGCCTCAAGCGCTCAAGTCAAATATCGTGTCCAGGGCCCACCATAACCTGAGTATAGTCGAAAGAATTCTAACCTTTGATTGGCATGATGATGTTGAAATCCTGTGAAGGTAATAATCCTAGATGCATATTCTGGACTTGCTTTGATGGCATGAGTTTTGTTGCGGAGGTGGGAGGTGGGTGAGGGTCATGCAGTTATGGCATTCCCCAGCCACTGCACTGTAATCATAATGCAAGATTCTTGCAATTTATACGAACCAGCAGATGCAACTAATTTTGATTATGCCATCATGTCCATTAGTTATGAATAATCCTTGTTGAATTTTCTACATTTCAAGTCGATAGCATCACAACTACACTAAGCAAGATCTTCGTGTTTTCACTTTTTTACTCTCATAAATCATTGCAGCATTGCCTACTTCGTGTTCATAGATGATGTTTCCATCTTTTATTGGCTTCTTTGATTGCTTATATGAATGTTTCTTGTTACTTGATTTTGTTACCAAAGGCACTCTTTGATGGAAGAGTTAATTTTTTTTGCTGTTGATGGATTGAAAAATAGAATTTCCTTCAATGATAATAAGAAAGATAAGAGAGACTATTACTTAGCGATCGTACAGAGAGGGGTCTTAGCTTGTGACTCGAGTAGTTTGCCTCGTGAACCTGGAAAGAGACGACATAATTTCCTTCGAAAATCTAGTAAAAGGCCCACTTGGCGATTTTGTCACGGATTATGTACCAATAGAGCACAGAATCTAAAGGCAACTATGACACAGAATACATGACACCAAGACAAGAATTTCTCTATGCTAATAGGAGAACTCAGGCTCTCTCTTACAAGCACAAGAAAAGCCCCAGAAACAGGAAAAAATGATTGCCCTAAATAACATAATCAGACCACTTGGATATATCTGATGTATGATCCATGGTCAAGCTAGGAAATTTATCCAGCTTAATTGGATTCTCTTTCCCACCAATCAATCTAGCAGGATTTCCTACGGCAGTAGTTCTAGCAGGCACCTGTTTCAACACCACAGAACCAGCACCAATTTTGGCTCCATCTTCAATTCTAACATTACCCAGTACACAAGTCCCTGCTCCAATCAAAACCCCATCACCAATTTTAGGATGCCTGTCTCCACTAACCTTCCCAGTGCCACCCAGAGTCACATTGTGCAAAATTGACACATTATTTCCAATCACTGCTGTTTCTCCTATTACAACTCCTGTAGCATGATCTAGCAAAATCCCCCTTCCAATTTTGGCCCCAGGATGAATATCCACTGCAAAAACTTCAGATACTCTGCTTTGTATCAAAAGGGCAAGAATTTTTCTCCCTTGTGACCATAACTTATGTGCAAACCTATGTGCCTGGCATGCTAAAAACCCTTTGAAATTCAAGAAACAGTGAACATAACTTATACAAGCAGGGTCCCTTTCTTTAACAGCCCTCAAATCATCTTTAACAGCAATCACGATTTCTTGATCCTCTATAAGAAAACCCACAAAAAGATCATACAGTGTACCGCTGGGCAAGCTAGAATCACTCAACTTCATGGAAAGATGATTAGCCAAAGCACTTTCCATTGAATCATGAGACAAGAGTGAACTGAAATAATAGTTGCACAATATGGGTTCTCGATCAATATCTGACCTTGCCTCAATTTTCATCTGCTGCCATAAATTATCTTCTTGTTCATCTTCTTCACCACCAGTTTCATCCAAAACATTAGGCGTGTGGAGAGTCTCTGACTTTTTTTCTGAGATGGGCACGCAAGAAACGAGATCAGAAAACATGGGTCTGCACTGTCTTGCATATTTATTAAACGCATCATCTTCAACTTGGGTTCTGTCTGGATTTGTCTGAGGAGTCTCTGTTCTTGAGGATTGTACAAAAGTAGCCATAGGAACGGCTGAGAATCTGATAGAAAAGAAGGGTTTCAGTATATTTGGGGATCCAAGAAAATTTGTGGACATTGAAAAGAGAGGCGATAAGAGAAGTGATTGTGAAGGGAGAGAGCTATGTAGAGATGAGCTTTCATAGAAATGGATATTTTTTTTGTTGGTAAAACAAATCAAATAAAAAAGCCTTTTTTAGCGAGTGACCAGGAGGAGAGGATGAGGATTCTTATGGAGGCGAGAGATGGCGCGTTTTGTCGTGTTTATGAATATTCATAACCGTGGATAAAATCATCTGCATTTGAAGAATTCTTATCTCCAAATTCTAAGAGAAGAGAAGTATTTTATTTAGAACTTTATTGTTTTATTTATCCTTGTCGACATAAATTTCGTTTGCTCATTTTACCATTGGATTAGTCAAGTAATCAATTTTCTTAACGGATTAGATGGTTGAGTATATAAATTAATTTACACTACAAAACTTTCGTTTACAAGAATATTACGATGTAATTTCAGTAAAAGATATTGTCTATTGTGAACTTTCAAAACACATTAAGGTTTCGAAGCTTGCGTTTTTTTTTTCTCACTTTTTGTAGAAGAATTTCATGATGAAATTATATGCTATCTTTAAAAGTTCATTTAATCGAAATTATTCAAATATGTTTAAAAATAGATTTTACAATTTTAAAAGTAATATTTTACTTTTGGAGTGAATCACTTTGAATGAATAAAGAAAATGTAAAAAAATGAGATGTGAATGTAGGAGTTGCGAGCTATGATAGTTGTCCGTAATTTATCCTTGTCGACATAAATTTCTTTTGCTCATTTTACCATTGGATTAGTCAAGTAATCAATTTTCTTAACGGATTAGATGGTTGAGTATATAAATTAATTTACACTACAAAACTTTCGTTTACAAGAATATTACGATGTTATTTCAGTAAGAGATTTAGATTTAGGGAGTGTTCGGTAGAGATTAAAATTGAAAAACTAATCGTTATTGTTAACTTTTATTAGACGAGAGAGACCCAATAATTTTAAGCTTAGCCAAACATGCTCTAATATTGTCTATTGTGAACTTTCAAAACACATTAAAGTTTCGAAGCTTACCCTTTTTTTTCTTTTTTCACTTTTTGTAGAAGAATTTCATGATGAAATTATATGCTATCTTTAAAAGTTTTGAAATTATTCAAATATGTTTAAAAATAGATCTTACAATTTTAAAAGTAATATTTTACTTTTGGAGTGAATCACTTTGAATGAATAAAGAAAATGTAAAAAAATGAGATGTGAATGTAGGAGTTGCGAGCTATGATAGTTGTCCGTGCTGGTCCGTCGAATTTTTTTATCTTATTTTTCCTTTTTTCATATATTGGACGCCTATCTTCCTCTCCAATTGCACGGATTCCCCTGTCTACAGCAATCAATGTCTTTCTCTTCCTCCAACTTTCATAATTAAGTTCTAAACAAAATAGGAAAATGCTAAACGACCCGCGTGGGTGACCGCGGGGATGACTGCACACTCACAACCGAGGCGGGGTCCCACATGAATAAAATAATACCGACCCCCATGTGCGTGCGCGGTCATCCCCGCGGTCACCCACGCGGGCACTGTAGCAGGACTCAACAAAATATAAGAGAGTTGCCAACAGAAGTATATTACTTTTACAGTTTTGCTAAAGGTACAGTTTGTTTGACATTGAATGAAAATGTCAAAATTTTTGTCATTAATTTAAAGAACACTTGAAAAAGTAAAGCCATTTTACCCGAAAATTGTTGACACCCCAAGTGACTGAACCTCACATTGCGCGTGGGTCCAGCGTGAATAAAATAATGTCCGATCCCCGAGGTGTGTATGTGTGTTCGGTCATCCCAGAGGTTCATGTAGTATGATTCATTTTGAAAGCACACACAATATCAATGAAGATGTCATCAAGAAATGTACAAATAACATAATTCTTACTTTTAAGCTAACCAAACAGGTCTTAACAAAAGAAGAGAACCCATAAAGCTATAAAGTTTTCGAACTCGAAATTATCCTAAATTAGAATACAGGTTGAGAAAGAAAGACGTGTAATAAAATTCGTGTAGTTATTCTCTTCTCTGGTTAAGCATATACTGTCGGGAGAGATTCGATTATAACCAAGTATTTGTTAAATATTATTGTTGTAATCATATGA